TGATCCGGCGCGCTCTCTCCTCTGCTGCTTGTGTCTCGCGATCAATTTCGGCCGCTGGCGCGTCCGCTAGAAAGCGCTCGTGTTCGTCGGCGTCGACGTAGATGTCCTCCTCCCGCATGGACACGTTACTCGGGCCACGTGTGTGGGCAAGCTGCAGGCTGTTGACCTCGTTCATCTCACTACTGAAGTCATCCTCCCTCGGCGCGCGCTCTTCATCCGCTGCGTTGTTCTTCGAGTTGCTGGTCGCGACGTGGGCGTCGGCTTGTGGGCGCTCCGCTATGGCAGACAAGGTGTGACTCGGCGGAGGGGGGTCGGCATGCGGTACGGAGATGACAACGAGTGCGGCGTCATGACAAGCACTAACAGGGGCGAGCATCCGGTTGCGCGATGTGGTGGTGTCGCGTGCGCCTTCGCGAGGTACAGACGCCGCCTCGTCCGCTGCGGAATGCACCGATGGACTTCGAGTGGGGCTCAGAGCACCGCGCAGCGGCCGTCGTGTCGGCGACACGCGTGGACTTCGGCTGTAGCCTTCCGGCAGCCGCAACAGCGCCTGCTCCCGCTCCTCCATGCGCTTCCGCACGTATAGAGTGGTGAGGAAGCCGGCACAGATGACGGCGGGCACGAGCCAGAAGAGCAGTATCATAGCCGGCATGACGGTCCGCTCCACCTTGCAGGTGTCCACGACGCCCATCAGCGCGGCGGTGCACAGGGCGGTGCAGTTGTCGGCGGAGTAGCACAGCTGCGATGAGAAGTGCTGCGGTCCGAGAGTGGCAGCGGAGAGGGCGAAGTGCACAACGCCGAGGTTCGCCATGGAGACTGTGCCGCTGCGTCCTGTCACGTTCTGATGCCGCGTGTTGAGCCGCACGCTCATCACCCCCTCCACCGGGTCGCTCGTGCAGAGACCTAAGCTGAATTGAATATCATACGTCAGACCTGCCCAGACCCCCTTCGAGATCGCCTTTCCGGAGAAGCGGTTGTAGTCAACGTGGCAGCGGGGAACTTCGCCTCGGGCGGCAGCCGCCCCGTGGCCGCCGAACAGGAGGAGAAGAAGAGCGACGAGCAGCACCACGACGGCGGCCGTGCTGGGGAGGACACGTCGGCGGCGGCGACCCGGCGGCGTGCCCGCAGCGGTGCAGGCGGCAGCGGACGCCATATATACGTACATGCGTGTGTGCACTGGCGCGTTTCCGTAGGCACGCTCTTCGCTTTTATTAAGAGGAGCTTCAAGAGTGCTGGCGACGACGCGTGTGTAGGCGAGTTTGCGCGTGGGAGCGGTCCAGATTCGAAGTCGAGACGACGAAGCGACGTCCACCCGCTCAGCGAAACAGAAGAAAAAAGGACCTCAATATAAGAAACACCGAGAAGGTAAAAGAAACCACAAGCAGCACTTCGACGCAGAGACACACGCGAAGGAACTGACAAGGGAAAAGTCCGGAAGGCACCGACGACAACGGTGGAGTGAAAGAAAACACGAGAACACAAGTGAGAGGAGTCGCAGCAGCAGCAGCAGGTGGCCAGCCTATCCACACAATTATATATATATTTATTGAATACGGCCCAGCAAATGCGAAGCAGAGTGTGCGGTGGGAGCCGTCACAGCAGCAATAACAAGAATAATAATAACAGCTCTCTCAAGTACAGGCGATAGCTCACAAAGATGAGGCACGCAAGCATGCATGCGATGGTTGTGGTGGCGGCGATCCGTTGATGTGCCGAGGGCCAGTTCCCCAGGCGGCAAACACACGCAA